CAGGGAAGAAAATTACATTCCATCAGGGGTGTGTCAAAGAATTTGTGGATACAATTTAAAACCCACCACATTCGATTTCTCCTCCTCTCCTTTGATTCCATACTGGGAGAAATAATCAGTTCTTACCTAGATGGCAAGAAGCACTTTCAAATTTATTTTTTATTTTTATTAGTACATGTTTACAGTAGACAACGATTGTTATTCATCGTGGAAAGTTGGAACCTGTGTGTAAGACATCTTTAATCTTTTTATTTCCCCTTTCTCTCCACTCCCTCCATCTCTTGGTGCTCTCCAAATTTGCACTTTAAATTCATTGTACTTTGGGTTTCTCACAGTTCTAACTGGTGCTCTCATCACTTTTTCTCCACTCTTCCTCATGTTTACTCCAGTTTGCTTGTAGTAGCCCAAGTGATAATTTAAAACATCAATACATTGTATCTCTTTTCTTCTTAACTTTGAGTGGCTTATGATTATACATAAAATAAAAGTTAGATGTATTGTCATGGCCTACACATGTCCTACACAATTTAATTCTTCCCTTCTTCCCTAACCTCATTTCATGCAAATCTATCCTTAGTTTATTGGAAATTCTAATATTCTGTTCATTATTAATACATGTCAATCACTCCCCTACACAGTGCCTTCCAACCTATTATTTACTCTGTCTTAAATTATTCCCCTTCCTCCTTAGATTTCTATTACTGGCTTTATGCTTTAGATTTCTGCTTAAATTCCTCTGTCAGGAAAAAATGATCTAATAATTCTAAGCACCCTACCATTATGTTTTAAAAGAAGCTTTATTCAAATATAATTAGCATGCAATTAAATGTACAAATCAAAATGAATTTGAGGATACTTATAAATTTAACATTATATAACTGTGAAATCATCGCCACATTCAATGTTTCATCTTTCAAAAAGACATCCCCTAGGGCCGGGGATTTAGTTCAGTAGTTCCTCCACCTGCCTTGCAAGCATAAGTTCCTGAGTTCAATCCCCGGTACCAAAAAAAAAAAAAAAAGACATCGCCCAAACCCCAAATCCCCCAAACCACCTTAGGCCCTAGCAACCACAGCATAGTAACTATGATTAATAATGATATATTCATGAAGATAGGATAGTGTATATTAAGTGTTCTTCCCACAAAAATTACTATACAAGGTAATGCATGTATTAATTTTATATATTTAACTCTATCAAAATGTATTTATAGTTCAAAACATCATGTTGCACATAATGACTATATACAACTTATCTATTGATTTTAAAAACAAAAATGAAAAGAACATTCATATTATATTCTAAATTGAATACACTACCTAGGCCATCACAATACTTCTTTTAATACATAAATGCTACTTCTCTTATCTCAGTTTGTAATTTTTCATCCTTGGGTCTTGCCTTCTAGACTGAATTCCACCTGAAAAGAAATTGTGTCTTAGGGTTCATCGCTGAATCTCCATGGCCATGTTTCTAGGAACCTTGCAAATATTCAATTAATGTTTGGAATAAATGAGCAATTATCTTATTATCTGCTGACAGGGACCATTATGAGACAAAGTTCAAGTGGTCTTTTACTCTGAAGACAGCTAGGAATGTCAGGAAAATTTGTAAGAGGTGGACCTGTGGTAGCTGCCCTTTGAAGAACCATTTAGTTGGTGAACATTTAACAAAGAGCCTTCTGAAACTTAGAAGGGAGAAAGAGATGTACATGTCTAAGGTGTAAACACAGAAAAACTAAAATCCCAATGTGGCTTTCATGTAAAGGATTGGACAAAGTGAATTTGTCCAATTTGTCCAAAGTGAAGGATTGGACTGGTGAATGCCAGATGTAGTAGTCTCATTGTTAGGAGAATCAGTGCTGTAGGCTTTCAGCCGGCTGCTGTGGTGCTGTATTTGCCTCAAGATGGTTAATATGAAAGAGAGATGAAAAAAACATATGTGGAACCTTAGAACCTTTGCTTTACCATCTTTGCAGGATTTATGTCATTTTTAATACAGAAAAAAAGTTAGAAAAATACAACTAAAACTAGGAATTTCAACTTCTGTAAAACTGAAGACAGGCTTGGTTTAACCTTTCTGTGGTGTGCTCCATTGTGGCTCAATAACAAACCTTATTTTTAAAGTTTTTCATAGCCTTAAAATTTCTTTCAAAAGGGGTGACTTGTGTATTTTTCTTTTTGTATGTATTGTTTATTGTATAGAAGGGTTGTGTTCGTATAACTGTATCGGAGAGAGAAACAGGGTCAGCATGGGAAGTCTGGATATGAGTTGGACAGGTTAAGCAGGTTTCTTTTCTTTACCAGCCCTGATTCAGTTTTACTGTATATAATATCCATTCAATATTCTTTAACTCACATTGCATATTTACCTAAACAATTTTAATATACTCATATATAAAGGAAAAGAGGTGTTTAGTCTATACATTTTTTCAATATATAAAATGATCTGTTTTATGTAGTAAGCATAATATAATTACCCAGTTCTGTGGATTTTATTTTTATGTTGTAGTGTCATTAACTGACCAATATCAAGGAGAATGATGACTAATCAATATCAGAACAGTGAAATAACACTTGAATTGAATTATTCACCTGCATTAATAACTATTGTATTCATCTTATACACACTATATGACAAGACCCCTACTTGATGAATCTATTTTTGTTAATCTTTATAATCTGCTAAATAGATTCTTTGAGTTCATCCCTGTTTAAGGGATGAGAAACCTGATGGTGAGGTAAAAGTTACTCGTAGTAATTCAACAGGAGTGATGGAATTGAAATTTACACTCAGGTTTGTAACTGCTAAATGAATGGGCTGGTAATTGATTGTAAGACTATGTGATGACAAATTTTGGTTTGATGTTAGTGTTTTGATTGGGTCGTGGCAGACGTGAATTCTGTAGATCATATTTTGGATGTGCTGGTATAGCACCCATAATATATCATTGCCACAGTCCAGAATAAGACACTTTGAAAATATTTTCAGGAAGAGAACATCTGTGTTGACAGACTTGTTTCATCTGCTTCTGGATTGAAAAAATAAAACAGTTCTACCTTATGGCTAAAAGTGTCTCAGACAGAACTAATCATATAATGAGGAAGAGAAGTAGAGAATTAAAGACCATTTCATCGTTAGCACTATATGAAGCAGTCACGTGTATGCATTTTATTTCCTGTGATGCTCCAGTCACTTCCAACAAGGTATACTTGTAGTTACATGCATATATTTTATTAAATACTGCAGCCTTGCAAGAAATGCATGATTTTTGCATACATAGATGTTTTCAGATAGTCTTAGTATTTATGTACTTGAAAATTATAGTGCCTTGAAGACTTTACTAGGGAATGACACACAAATTAGGCTGCCTGAAAGCCGGTTGACATATTTAAGATAAATTGTACAGGCAGAATATTTTGGTAACGTAATGTATCATTCTGCTTTCATAGGTTTTGGCTCTTGATTTGTCTTTTTATTGAAAAACACTAATTTTTTGGAATAACACAGAATAGAGCTCTGAGAAACTGGGGATTTTTGACAACTTGAAACATTGCTGATTAAGATCCCATAAGGCCATTTCTATAGATAAAGTACTTATCATTAATTCCATAAAAACAATAGAGTATCTATTTTTAAATAGATATTCTGGTAGAGGATTGTTTACTCTGGAGGATCTAGTTGACCAGGATGAAATAAGATCATCTTGGATAGTTCTTTCTTAATAGGCCAGAATTATATGTGCATGATTGTGTGTGTATGTGTGTGTGTGTGTGTGTGTGTGTGCACCTGTGACACAAACACCTGTGTGCTTGTAATTCTATATAATTGTGTGTATTTACATTTAAGATACTGTTTAGATTCATTTTCAAAGATAAGTGCGGTACATTTTTCATACATCTTGCCCCGATCCCAATCTGTTAGTACATGCAACTGAGTTCTGATTCCATTTCATATTCAGTATGTGGCCAAACTTTAGCTAAGTAAAATACAGAGCTCCAAATGTGATCTCAGCTATGCATTTGTGGGAATAATTCACCCCTTGATAATGACACTCTTCTCTCTTTGAATGTCATAACAGTTTACTGCATTCTTTTAGCTCCTTCTAAATATTGACCAATATGACACAATTCACAAAGCATTCTGTGTTATATCAAATGCCAATATAGGTTTTTGGATTTTTTTGTGTGGATTTTTGTTTGTTTTTTGAGACAGGGTCTCACTATGTAGTTGAGACTGACCTGGAACTCACTATGTAGCCCAGGCTGGTCTCAAACTCACAGTGATCCTGCCTCAGCCTCCCGAGAGCTGGGATTAGAGGTGTGTGCCACCAAGCCCGGCTTTCAAATGCCAATATGTTAAATGCTAAATGATTGCTTTTGGCATTTTAAAGATTGTAGTGTTCATAGTTGCCATCTAGTTAAGTCATATGTGTCTCATACATTTCAACAAAAATTTCATAACATCATAAGTCATGGACTACAAAACAGTCTTTACTGAGACACTTGCATAGGTCAAGTTCTAACAAAGAGAAAAAAAAAGCTGGAAGTCCAATAATCCTCTAGACCTACAGGTATGGCAGATTCAGGGGCCCATGCACCTGCAGTGTGGGTATGTACTCCTGTCAAAGATTCCTTCTCTCCAGTAGTCTACCATATCAGTGAAGGATAAGCAGACTGCTTGGTCCTTGACCGGCCATATATAGGAGCTTTGAAATATTGGCTCCCAGCAGGTGGCAACCTTCATGTCCTGTGAGACACTGTAGTATCCCTTGCGTGGAGGAGCAGGCTTATGGTTGCATGATAAGCTGATCAGGGGTGCAGCCCTTCCTACTTGGCAAGATAGGAGAAACCCCTTCCGAGTTGCCCTATTGCCCCTGTCAATACAGAGAGGGCTTCTGGGATTATTTTCAGACAGTCCTATTCATTTAAACTACAACAGCAGGGTGACATGATCCCTAAGCAGACAGATATGTATAACATTTTCTCAAAGCTGCTCACCTGTTAGACAGAGCCTCATCATTTAGTGGAAGAGTCGCTGTGATCGCCATGAGAGTTATTTATCATCATCTGTCATATTTGGGTGGCATTGCACTAATACTGGGTAAAACAAATGAACCTGTCATTCCTCTTCCCTTCTAGGAGTTTATAACATGACATCATTCTCAAAATCTAAACACTGTGGTATGTGCCTTTACATGAAGGTATAATGAAAATAAGTAAATGAACACATATCCTCCCTGTTATTTTTAAGAATTCTGTTGTTTGTAGATAAGATTAAATGTTAAAAATAGAGCTTCTGGGGCTGGGGATTTAGCTCAGTGGTTCTACTGCCTGCCTTGCAAGTGCAAGGACCAGAGTTTGATCCCAGGTACCAGAAAAACAAAAAAGAGTTTATAATGATCTTGATATCCATATTTCCTTGGAGAAAGATAGGTGGGAAAGCATATTGAATTAAGAATAATTCCTACAAATATTAATTTACATACAAATTTATTTACTGATGAAATTATAATTTATATATTGAGCATTATTTAATTTTTACAAGCCAGTAAAATGGATATTAATGGTTCTTCAGATTCTTTTTATCTTGATTTAAAGTTAATAATATATCAATAATGATCTGAAACTTAGAAATACCAATAGCAATCATTTGTTTTGTTAGTGAGCTTTCCATAACAGTAACAAAACACCTGACAGATATAGGAGGAAGTAATATTTATTTTGGCTTATGGCATCAGAGGTTTTATGTCCACTGTCATTTGGCTGTCTTGTTTCCTGGCCTAAGTTGGCCCTGGAGAATCATGATGCAGAGAATGTGGTAGAGGAAATCACTCACTGTGCATGTACCAGGAAACAGAGAGTGAGGGAGGGGCCAGAGACAGGATATACCCTACCTTGGCAACCCCCATGACCTGTGTCCTCCCAGTAATACCATCAAACTATGAGTCCATCAATGGGCAGAGCCTTCGTGATCCAGTCTTTTACCAAAGGCTCCGCTTTTGAACATTATTGCACTGAAGACCAAGCTTTCCACATGTGAGCTTTTGTGGGATTTGTCAGATCTGAACCATATTTGCTGAGTGTTGACTTTGGTAGTAGTACAGTATCAAGCCAAATACATTTACATCTATCTACACATGCATACATATTATATATATGGTGTAATTATGTTTCTGTGACACACATTTTCATGCATACTCATTTAAACTACAGACCATTCCTGGGAGGTGTGCTCTCTTTGATGCCTACTTCTGAGCTTAATTGTTAGATACAGTCAGTAATTGGCCACCATTACTCTGCTAGCAGGGTTTGAATCTATACAATTTGACTTGTGAAACCCATACTTTTTGTCACTGTTCAATGTTGTAGATATTTTAAGACCATCTTTAAGTGCAATTTTAATATAATAAATGGTATGTGCTAGATGTAATTTAAAAAGTGATTTTTTATCTGCGGAAAACTGTATACTTAACCTAATTATCAACCATACCCTTTCAGATATTGTGTCCAGGTAGCAGTAAAAGTTCAGTAAAATATCCTTGATTATATTTTCTTGTTTGAGTTTCTCTGGTTTCTACAAATAGGACATATAAACTCAAAACTTACTTGTGTAGAGATTTCACTGAAGAAACTGTTCTGAGCTCCACAGTGGAAAGTAGAGGGAGAACCAGATCACCCAAACTTAGTTAGCAAGTGTATTGGTGTCTCATCTTGTCAGTGAAGGTCCTTTCCAGAGCATTTATGGGACAGCTTATATTTGTGTGCAGTGACTACTGATCCACTGTGTCTCCTTCCTACCAATTCCATAACCAGTATTTAAGAGACTTTTTTGGAAATAATAGTGAGGCCTATACTTTGTGAGAAATGTAATAAAGTTTACAACATCAGATTGTAAAGGATAGGACCGTGCCTCCTTTGAATTTTTAATGTGCCTCCTAGGTTCAGCATAATACTTCATATGAAGTTTTAAGAGCTTTAAAGGGTCTTTGTCAGGTAGCACATCAATCAGACAATTTCGAAGAAAGTTAATAAAAATTCTGAGACCTTTTTTGTCCTGGCACAGAGCTTGTGAGTCATAATCTTGGTAAACTTCAGCTCAGAGTTCTAGCAGCATGATGCATCTGGTGACTGCACCCCAGCTGTTCCCTTGAAAAGGTGTAAAGAGAATCAGCAGCCTGTTGGCATAAAAGATGGCATCTGAGAAGTTGTGCTGTGTACCCAGGAAAGAGCCAAGTCAGAGAAGCACAGGCTTAAACTGAACGATCTGCCAATTTCAGGATGTACATATATCCAGGGGCCATGAATGAGAAAGTTGGGCTCTATCAATTTTGAGGTGTCAGCAAATAACTGGCTAGCATTCCTCAGTCCTTTAAGGCCTACCGTATTTGCTGCCTTTTTATTCTTGTGACTGGAATGTATAAGAAAAGCACTTAAGCAAGTAAACGCATTTGAACAGCCTACATGCAGTAAAGGAAAAAGTATTATACTTGTCATTTTTTTTTCTTCTCTTCCACTGCCTAATGAACTTTTTGCATCCATCAGTTTCTAAACAGGCAGCCATTGAAATTTTTATTCATGTTTTGGTTGCCTCTAGAATTGATTTTTGTAATTCTCTTTTACAGCCTTCCTTTCCCAAGCTGTTTTGAGGTTGCAGAATACTCTGAATTCAGCAGGTGTTTCAAGCCTGGCAGCATCTTATTGCCTCTCTTCTGGTTTTCTTTAGTAATTTCCAGTATCAAACATGATTGCTCCTCCAATTTTAATTTTTACTTGCTGTGTCGCCAGATAACCTTGTTAGTTCTATGGCTGAGCCCAGTTGGCAGTGTTAGAAGCCTGAGTAGTTCCACACTCCATAAACTACAGTGGTATTAGCAAGTACATTCGCATACTCTGAATCATCTCACCCTTATTCGAGCTTCTTTTAAGGGAGGAAATGCTTTAGAGAGGTTAGGGGGGAAATCAAACCAATTCTGTTTGCCACATAGTATTCTATTCATTAAGGAATTTTCAGGAACCAATTTCAATTTGATGCTTCTATTTAGAATTGCATTCAGAGAGTGTGTACATACACACACACGTGCACACACATTTAATATGCTGTTTGAACTGCAATGAGAGCAGCATTCTTACATAATTTTATGTGTGCACAACTTTTAAACCATAACTGAAAAATATAAGGACTATCTGTGTAGCTTTAATAGAAATTCAGTGAAATTAGGAATTGAAGACAAATAAATCCTGGTAGCTATAGCAAGGAAGGCCCTGCAAATCCATTCAACTAGTTGATGTATTTATTGTGCATTTAGACACATGGCATTTGTATGAATTCTATCCTAACATAAACTCATGAGTAGGGAAATAAAGATCCACTCTCTTGATTTTGCAGCTGAACAAATTTCCTCAAGCTGTTATTAATAGTAACAAATTTTCCTATTTAAAGGACATTTTCAAATGGGACAGAAATTTTTTTTTTCCTTTCATGAGTTTAAAAACCATTTTTTGCACTTTTTTTATTAATGGGTTTGTTTTGTTTGTTTGTTTTTGATTTGGTACCAGGGATGCAACTCAAGACCTTGTGCTTGTGAGGCAGGCAGCAGTACCACTGAACTAAATCCCTGGCTCTTTTTGAGACAGAGTCTTGCTGTGTAGTCCAGGCTGGCCTTGAACTCACTATGTGGCTGAGGTTGGCCTTGAACTCATGACAATCCTCATGCTTCGGCCTTCTGAGTGCTTGGATTACAGGCATACCTCACTATGCTCATCTTATTAATGTATTTTTACTTGTTTGTAGTGCATAATAATTACATTTATCATAGTAAGTTTGTATATGTACATAACACATCTTAATTCTTCTTTTGTTCCCTTCCCCTCCCAGCCCTCCCTGCTCCCTCCAACTTTTATCCCCTTCCCATTTGAAAAAGCTCTGTTTCTATTTTTTAATTATCTTTTTAAAAATAATCCTTTTTACCTTCGTCCCCTTCCATCTCTTGTTCCCCTCCGCATTGTAAAAGATCACCCTACTTCCTACTAAGAAGGGGGATAGCTGGGTCAATTGAAGTTTCTATTTTTAAGGAATCAGTGTACTAATCTTCGTATTGGTTGTACTAGTTTACATTCCAAACAACAATGTAGAAGCGATCTTCTTTCCCTGCAGCCTCACTAGCATTTGTAATTACATGGTTCCATTGATTTCTCAACATCATACAGCTGTTAAGTAATGGAGAAAAATTTCAAACCTAGGATATCTGAATTCAGCATCTGAGCTACATAGTGCTGCAATGCTGTCTCTGAATATTAAGGATTTATGTTACACAGCATTCAAGTATGGGCCTTTTATTCGGATCCTCTTTTCTGTATCACGTTTGCTTGTTTAACCTAAACCCTCCTTATAACCACAAAGATAATGGTAAATATCTGGCCTCACAAGCAGTGTTATTATTCAGGGTCAAAATACACTTAGAAGGCCATCTTAACTACTGTTAGTTTTGCTTACATCATTGTATTTTGGCTATTTTATAGAATGATTTGTGACATTTATCAAACTTGGTTAAAAGTTTGAAATGCTGGATAATCATTGGGAAAAAGTTATAGAAAATCATTTCTTGGAGCAAGTTACATCAGCATTAGTCATTATTGTACTAGGGAATATATTGTTGTCATTGCCCTAGCAAAGACTAAGTCCCTGAAGAATTAAGTGAAAGAACAATCATTGGATACGAATTGGATGAGCTTCTTCTTTGCCTAAAGCTTGAGTGAGTTATTAGTAAGGGCCTAAAATATCATCTTTATTGATATTTGGAGTGATCTTATTCTCAGAAATTTAGAAGCTTAATTTTGAGCTTTTGCCTCCAAACTATTTGAGTTTATGGAGTATTTGTGAATAGATAGTATAGACAACCCAAGGGTTGTGTTTTATGTTAAGATTACATGAAGCAGAAAAATCTAAAACACTAGTTACTTTCCTTAGAAAATACACTTGCTGAGTGAATGAGCTTTTTGAAATCTTGACTGAAGGAAAGTTAAATACTAGACAAATGAGGTTTTAGTTAGCAGAATATTTCCTGCCACATTAAGGCTGAATGAACTGTTAAAAGTGTTTGTAGATGGGGAGGGGAGGAGGGGGTGAAGGGAGGGCAGAGGTAAGGGGAAAAAAATGAGAATCAAGACTTGCCATGTAAAGGTACATGATCCCAACAATGAATGTAACTGTACTGTATCCCTAAATGTACCAATAAACTCAATAAAAAAAAAAAAAAAGAATTTAACTCACAGGTAAATTTATGTAGATTAATACATATGAATATGTAAAGAAAACTTTTTTCACTTATTGGACTGTAATATGTTATTAGGGTATATTTTGGAATTCTTAAATCTTTTCCCATTTTCTGTGTCTTTCAGTTTTCTGTCAAAAAATAACTTTCAGGGAAAATGTCCTCTCAAGAAGAAGCAAGATGTTAATACAAAGATATATCTATGTGATTAGAGAATAAAATTTGGGGTAACTAAGTAGCAAATTATTTTTCCCCATATACCAAAGATGTCTCAATATTGAAAGTATACAACATGAAATTCAGTTTCTGATTCAGAAAGTGCTGTAGGATCTTCCAGTGCAGGAAAGTCATTAAAGATTATCAGTCTCTTGTAACATTATGCAAGTACTGGTTTAGAGAGATTTTTCTATAGAGAGAGAAGCAGATAATCAAATCTTTACTCTGCAGAAACAAAATCCTACAGAAAATAATTCTACTGCTCTGGTGATTTAAGTGCCTGAATAAATTGGATTAGGTAAATAAAAAGAATGAGCATGAAAGTAGAAGACATAGTAGTTTCTAAATATCAAATTCAGAAACTTTTGATTAATGACTTATATTTCATGTCATATGGCTTAATGATTTTTTTTGCCTTATTACCTATCTTGTAAAGGAAATGAAGTGCATATAGAGCTACAGTGCAATAAAAATAACCCATGAAAGTCTCATATATTTCTTCTTTAACAAAGTTCTATCTGCCATCCCAGGGCAGCTTACTGAAAGAGAAAAGAAATACAGATTTGTGTTCCAACTCTTCCACATGATTACAGTGTGTCAGTCAGGATACATGGCCTAATTGTCTTATAATAAAAACCCACTCTAAAACTACAGAGGCACAACTCTGCATATGTGATTTATTTACACTGCATCATCCAACTAATATGTAGAACGCCTCTGCTCATGAGTCAGAGACCTGGCTGAAGACAGCTTCCCTTTAACTCCCCCCTCACATACCGCCAATAGTAGAGAAGGAAATGGGGCAAGGCACACAGACATTTTACATTTCCATGTGGAATTTATATATAATTTCTTCCACATTTCATGTTCTAGAATAAGTCACAAGGTTAGTGAGTAAGAAAGCAGAATCCTAATATATGATCAGCAAGACATCACCAATGACAACCATGTTGTGTGATTTGGTATAAATCCCTAGTTCATCTGAGCTTTATTGTTATAATATGTTTTTTAAAGTATGGAGGATTTCTCTAACTTGTTATCTCTTCCCATGACCATCCTCTGAACATTTGTGTATCTTGGACATCAGAGCAAAATTGCTTTTTTAATGTATTAGACAAATATTGAGGATGGAAGTTGTGAACTTAACTATGGTGATAGTTATTTTGCTAGTTCTATTAATATATATGGTGTAAGCATCCCATACCTGAAATGCTCAAGAGTGTTTCAGATTTTTCACATTCTTTTTGGGGGGAATATTTTGTATGTATAATGACCGATCTTGAGGCTAAGTCCCAAATCCAAATATTAATTTATAGTAGTATCTTGGTTCTCAAGCTTAGTCTGTTCTACAATTTTAGAAAAGCTGGCCACATTTGTGTTTGTGGGGGAAAGATAGCCAGAGTCATATTTGTTGCCAAATGCAGAGTATGCAAACAAAAGCAAAATTTTGCAAAACACTTCTGTTTGCAAAACAGATTATTTGCCAACAAAAGCATTCAGGAATTGAGATACAACTGTATGTTGTGTATATGTATATGTGTGTGTGTGTGTGTATCCTAAAATAATTTTATACACAATTATTAATAATTTTGTGCATGAAACATAATTTCATGGTATGGTATTTTTAACTTATCACGTGTCAGCACTCAAAATATTTTTGGTTTTAGAACATGTTGTATTTTGGATTTTATACTTATAATTATTCAACTTGTGCTACAAAATGAGTAACCTGTCTGTTTCTGGTGCTGTTTCAGAATTGAGGTTGCAATGTTTTGATGTTCAGGAGGGTTAAGTCTACTTAATGATAAACAATTCGAAAAGTCATTAATAAGGAAGTAACAAACACTATAGAGAAAATTGAAACACAGGAAGATTAGAGATGTAAGTGGCCACATTGGACAGGGAAATTAGGCTAGGCCCAGAGAGCAAAGGACTGAGTGAAGAGGAGTCAGATGTGAAGAGGTCACAATGTTGGTGAGAGAACACTCCAGACCTACACACAAGAGCAAGGATCTGAAGGCTTGGATGGTGGGAGAAATGAACACAGAATAAGGGGGCCAATTGGCTCTGTATTAATAGGGAAGTCAGAACAGCCCTGATCACACTGGCTTTACAGCCAGGGAAGAAGTTTACATTATCATGATGTTTTTGACAATAAGAAGACATTGTCAATTTCAAGTACAGAAAAATATAACCTCATTTACCTTTTAAAAAACTGACTTCTAGGTAGAGAATGAATTTTAAAGGGGCTTTGGTAATAAATCTGATTAGAAGGCTGTTGTATTGTGACTGATTTTACCTTTCTTAGCTTTACATAACTAGTTGGTGTTAGTATTGTTTTTTTAAATTAAATAAATATTTGGCTACCTAGGTTCCCACTCATGCTTTTTCACCAATATTCTTAGGAAATAAAATGATCTGTGAAAAGACCTCCAAAATAACCTTGACTTCCCCTCTTAACCTCTATATCTTTAAATACATATGATAATAGATAATGTGAGACGGAAGGAAAGGAGCAAAGGGAAAGGGGAAATGGTAGAGGTAGGGAAAGTAAAGAAGATAATGGAATTAACAGGAGAAAATGAAAAACTGGAAACAAAGTCTTTGTAGTTAGGGAGGGATGGAGGGTACCAGGGAGGGCAGGGGAATGGGGAAAATATAACAACCAAGATGGATTATGTAAAGATGCAAATTTCCAATGATGAATGTCATTATATCATATACCTTAAATATACCAATAAAATTAATTAAAAATGCATATGGTGCATTTGCGTTATATTTTTCTGAAGATTTAATAAACTTATTATTGTAATGGATAGTAGTGAGGAAGGCCTAACCTCTTTCTTTGCCACAGCCCAATTATCCCTATCAGTTAAAAGTGATACCCTCATAAACTTCAAATAAGACATGGGAGTTCGAGATTTGGGCTTTATTCTTTCTCCTTTGGTTCCTGACTATGACACCCTTGTGCTTCACTTTCACAGTCTGTTCTCTCCAGGTTTTCAGAACAGTTAAGCTTCTCACCTGTTACTCTGTTGCCTCTCTTGTTGCATGAATTATATGGATATTGTTACTGTCAGATTCTCCCAAGACCTTTTTTTTTTAAGTGTCTGGTTTAACTCTGTCTGTTTTTACTAGAGACCATATAAGTGCGGAGTAAAATGGAATAGAAATTGTGCTGTCAGACTGTAGAACAATTTGAACATCCCAGTGAAGTTGAATATGGGCTAATTACAATTCAGCAATGTTAATTCTAGATATATGCTCTAGAAAAAATGTGCATGCACATGAAAAGACATATACAAGGACATTCACCAATGCAATAAGTGCAATAGTAAAGTGGTAGAAGCAACATAACTGTCTATTAAAAGAAAATGAATAAACAATCTCTTTATTCATATCATGGAACATGGTATAATAAAGGAGCTGAATTGAGGCTATATGCATCAATAAATGTAACGTTAAGGGGAAGATAAAAAAGTTGAAAGAGCTGTAAAAATGTAATATTCTTTATATTTTAGAAGTATAAAAGTCATATATTGCCTAATAGTATGGATACATTCTGAAAAATTCATTAGGTGATTTTATCATTGTACAAACAATATAGAGTGTACTCACCATAAAGCCAGATATTGTAACCTATTGCAAACCTGGTATATACATAGTGTAGTGTATTGCCCTACATTTCAAACTTGTAGATCTGGCAAATGTAGTGAATACTATTGGCAGTTGTAACACAATGATGAGTATGTCTAAATATATCTAAGCATAGAAATGGCACTGAACGAAATACAGTATAAAAGATAACATGTGGTACACCTGAATATGGGACTTACCAATCATGGAGCTTTAATAATTAAAAATATTAAGTAAAAATACCACTACTGTGGTATTTAGTTTGTTCCATAATATATCAGCACGTAATAGAATATTTTTTCTCATAAGTGACTTAAACAATTTTAGATGTGATACTTAACTTTTAATATTTATGTTCTCTTCAATAAAGTTGCAGAACTTTTTATAATATCCAGCCAATGGACTGAAATACCTTGGCAATGTAAAATTTGAGAAATTGTTTCAGCCTCCTTAGTGCTACATGAGATTTTGATGCAACTTTTTAGTCAACATCTTTGAGCTGTGAATTAGCTTGAGGAATTCAAGGCAGAGAAAAACAATTTTACTGGTCACCCCAACTCACTTGAGCAACTTAAACTGTGACTTATTAACTCTAGTCTCTTTAAAAATACAAAAAAGGCCTGTTTGAGTGCAATAGATAGAAAAGGACATGGTACCAACTCTCTGATTCCCCAATTCTTCCTCTATCAGAGTTTACTCACCTAATATTTGAGATAGGCATGCCCATTGGTACTTACCACCAGTAAGTAGTGTGGCTTTCTCTCCTTTATTCATCTCCTACAATCAGCCAGTCATCAACAAATATTGTGACAGTCTGTGATACTTTAGATGTCACAATGAGCCATTGTATAGAAACAGTGATTTTTCTACTAGGCTTTCTTTTGGATCAGATATATAAGCTGCATGTGCAGGTAGATATTGCTATGGATGAATGTGTCTCCTTCAAAATTTGTACTGAAATTTAATTCCCATTGTAGAGGTATGAGAAGGTGGAGCCTTTTAGAAGTTGAATAAGTCTTGAAAATGGATTCACACCATATAAAATGAATGCAGGAACTCTTAAATTCTCTTCCCCCTTGTACCCTTCTGCCTCCTGCCACGTAAGAACACAGTGGTCAGGCATCACCATGGGTGCAGAGACGGGGGCCTGACCACACACCCAGAAAACCTGCTAGTGCTTTGATCTGAGACTTCACAGCCTCCATTAATGTTATTGGTAAGTTTATGTTATTTTTAAGTACCTCTTCTCAAGGTATTTTGTTACAACAATGGGAATAGTCTAAAATAGCTTTATCACAGAATTTGAAACAATGAGACACTTCTTTGTACTTATCAAATATAGATAGTCCTCAAAAGCAATATGTTCCATAAGACAGTCCCCCAACTTATCTTTAAAAACTTACTTAAAAAACAGTGAAGATGGCCGGGTGTGGTGGTTCACACATATAATCCCAGCACTCAGGAGGTTGAGGCAGGAGGATTGCTGAGTTCCAGACCAGCCTGAGCTACATAGTGAGTTCCAGGTTAGTCTCAACTACATAGTGATATCCTGTATCAAACAAACAAACAAACAAACGAAAATCAATGAGGATGTATTGTGTGCATGTACAACTTCCCAGAATGCATGCAATTATTATGCCCTGCAAACATGTACTAATAAAAACAAAAATTTAAAGATGAACAATTAATAATTATGAATTACACATGAGCTTCACTTTATTTTGCAATGCTTTAAAGAAAATGTATCTTTAGTAAACTACTTGAAAGATTAAGGGTATTTCTCAGGTAGTTTAGATGATATGCATATATATATATATATATATATATATATAATATATATATGTGTGTGTGTGTGTGTGTATGTGTGTATACATATATAATTTTTTTGCATGAGATAGAGCCCTACTGTATTTTCCAGGTTGACTTCAAACCTCTAGTTTCAAACAGTCTTGCCTTACCCTCAGTAGCTAGAATGACTGGTACATCCCATAGTGTATAGCTTGCATGTTACAATTTTAATCAGTAAAAGGTATTGGTTTGCAATAATGCTAACCATATTGTTAAAGAAAATGCAATGAATAGGAATTCCTCTTAAATTTTCTTCTCTTCATATTTTAATGTGGAGTTGAGCATTTTCCGTACTCTACATCCGTGTTCCTTTTTTCTATGAAGGGTCCTATTGCTAAATACCATCAGTTTTTTTTTTCCCTGTGGACACTGGGGAAATCTTTTCCCTTTTTATCCATATTAGTCTGTGATCTGAGGAAGTTTTCTCACTTCCATTCTTGAAATTTTCATCTTCTCTATGAAAGAAAAAAGATGTTAATGAGCATCTCAGGTTAGTTTATGTTTGGATGAGACACTTTTGTTTGGATGCCATTCCAAAGGCATTTGTTTTTTAGAAAGCTATAACTAGTTTCAAATTGTTTTGCTTTGTTTTCTGTATTCCTTGCGAGATACTGCATTTATTAGTTCTAGTGTCTCTTCTGGGTGGCTCTGCTCTTTGTGCACCTGCTTGCTGTCCTCGCCTTTTCTGCAACTACTGTATTTTCAGTGAGTCATGTGTTTACTCTTATAAAAACTCATGACAATTTGTCATCTAGTAAAACGTTACACTTTCTGCACTTTGCCATTATGGGAGTGAGTTAATATACTAAAAATGAGTTCATTCTTGTTGTAACAGAAATCCTCTGTAGAGATGAGATTATGCAAACATTTTGCTCTATTTTCATTAGTTTAATTTTCTCAAAAGCATAATAGATACCTCCTATAACTGAAACCTGAATGTTTGAAAATCATAAACTTTCAGCCAAGCAATAGAGCAGCCATTGCGAATATTTGTGGAGTACCTTGCCTGACAGTATAGTAATGTTTCTTGTTGCCAAAAAAAAAATTAATGTTCCATAAGTGTCTTGGGGGAAATGCTTTCTCAGGTGTATATCATATGTTATTTGGCCTGAAATGAGGTCTTAAATTTGCACGAGTTTTGTTAAGATGACTGAACAAATAATTTTCTTCCTGCTCCTATTAGAGTTATTTTCATATAAGTCTCATGACAATATTTCCATTATTATATCATTCAATTCACATGCTAAGATTTTCTTTTATCACTTAATTTTCTCTGTCATCCTGAGATTAGCAACTTATTTTCTGTAAAACAGCTGCCATAGTTTCAAGACCACGTGGTGATTCCATCTCCAATAGAGAAAATGCTTTCTTTTTCAGATATGTTACTATTGATGATCTTTTTTCCCAGAAGCTCTCTCAAGCTGTTTCTCATCATTTCCTATTGGCAAAAATTGTATCACATTAAGCAAATTGATTCCTGGAAAAGAAAATGGCACCATGATTGTTTTCTTAAATCAACTTTGAGTCTTCAGTTGGGTGTGGATGGGCCTACTTTCCCTTGTTGCACGTGACCAACCATGGGAAACTTTTGAATTGCATTAGAAAAGAGAAAAGGTAGCTAAGAGAATTTAGATAACATATTAATTCCTTAATATACTATAAAACACTACTTATATTTGCATATATATGTTCATATTAATTTAAAAGATGGTTTACATAGACCATTTATATTTTAGTTAATAAACTATATAAAGGCTTAGAGCAGGGCTCATTTTGACTCTGGTTTTTGCTTTAAGATTGGAGTTATACTCCAATTCATGCATAAAATAACTCTACTATCAACATTTGCTTTACTTTGACATTTGCTGTTGTGTCATAAGCACTGTTCTGTGTGTTTGTTTTGTTTATTTTTTGGCATTATAGAGCCTCAGGCCCAGGACATCATGTATGCTAGGCAAGTACTGTACCACTGAACTACCAGTCAGTCATATAATTATTGTTTTTAAGTGCAAATAGAAAACCTTACTGACTAATGTAAAAGTTTAATACAAAACCAATGTGTTTACTTGTTTTTTTTTAAATAAAGAAAACCAGTATTGAGTTACTTTATACTATGTGTGAAATAAACCTCACTAATCCAGATGTACACCTAGTCATGCAACAAACACTGAATATCTTCTACATGGTCTTCACCACATTTCTGTCCGTTGTGCATAGAACAGATAAAGAATCTGTTCTCATGAAGTTTTACTCTATTGTTGAAGAGTGAAAATAACCAGATGAAGTAATACAGTAAAGAACATATAGTACCAAGCCAGTAGGTGACTGCTTCAAGAGGCCAGGGAAGTCCTCTCTGAAGAAATGGAGTTTAAGCTGAAATAAAAATTATTTTTAAAAATTACAAAACAAGGAGCCAGAATGCAAACTCTTGGGAAGTACGTTCTCAACAAGGAGAAGAGCTAGTGCAAACACCGTTGGGTGGGAATAAGATAGCACTGTAGCCAGTAAGTAGAAAAGAGAAAGATGTGGTTAGAGAAGTATGTAAGAATTAGATCATATGAGATTTTGTAATGCAGGATAAAAGATTGATATTGATCTCAAATGCACTGGGAAGCCATTGGAAAGCTCCGTATGAGGAAGTGGCAGGTAATACTGCAGATGAGAAGTGGGACAGTATTACATGGACAGATGAATCGTACAGTTAGGCTTTTATCCTGATGAGAATTGATAGGATGGGAAGATCAATGTAATACTAATAAAAGATACAAAAATGTAGGTCTAGGATGGTCTATAAATAGATTTTTTGGAGTTAGGAAATGAAAGAAAAAAAGATCATTTTTCAGTTTTTGGCTTGAACTGCAAGGTAGACGAAGGAATTATTTTCTGAGGAAGTAGAAAGCAGGCTTTGGGGAAGAGATGTAGGGGAATGAAGGGCTGGGTCCTGTTAAAGTTAAGATGCCTGTTAGACATCCTTATTACACCATATGACAATTGGATATTTCAGCCTAGGAGTCCATGAAGAGATTGCTTCAGGAGATGCAGATTTGGGAACTGTGTGTTTATAAAAAAGCAGAGAAATACCCACACAATTATTTTAATTAATTCCACTGAGCATTCTTAAGTATGATTCGTATAACTAAAAATTGATGAATATTTATTTATTGAAACATTTGTCTTGAAATTTTGTTGATAGCACAATTGCTGAGAAATTGATTACTCATGACAAGCAGTGATGGCTCATTTCATCAAAGTTTTCCTAAAAGACAAAGAAAGTTTTGTATTATCAGTTTTACTTGCTCTGAAAATTGTTTTTGCACATCACTGTTTGAGGTTAGCAATAAAATTTTCAGCTTTGCATCATAAATCAAACAAGGACACAATTGTTAAATAGTCTATATCTTATTAATTAAGCCCTGAAACAAGGCAAGCATTACAACTATTTATAACAGGGTATTGCATAAGTTGCTAATCAATGAAAAAAGCAACTAATTAACAAGCCACCAGTCAGCATTTTGAGCAGAAGTTGGTGACTTTCAGCTTAATTAAACATTGCAGGTGTCAGTGATGATATGAAAGAATCTTTAATCTGTTTGTGTCTAAATTCCCCCCAATGATTTTAACATCTGTACATGTTTAAAGTCCCTATCTATTTTGAGGCAGGTAAAGGGATTTCCGTGTCTTAAAAATACTTTGCATCTTCAAAAGCCCTCTTCTTAACTAAATCTTTGAGATTTCTTCTGGATTAAGATAATGCAATGAAGTTCATGAACTATTTCACACCAAATATAATAAACTTAGAGAATTGACTAAGCAGTTTTATGAAAGTATAACTTTCATACTATAAAATTTCCTTGTTTTCAGTGTAAATTTAGTGATTTTCAGTAAATGTATGGAGTTGTACAATCATCACTCCAATATAACTAGAAC